GTTTCCAGCTTGTTGGTAATCAAGTCTAAAGACAGAAGTAGACATGTTGTGGACGATGATCTTCGCTGTGCTCTTGCTAAGACTGTCCCGAGCATTTCTGATCTGGTAAGAAAGAAACAATCTCAACCTTCGCACTGACGGTGGCGTTTTACGCATACTGTCTCAAAATGTAGCAAAGTAGTTTACTGCTGTTATATTAAGACTGTTAGCCGTGCTACACCATGCTAAAGGATATATTAAGACTGTTAGCCGTGCTACACCATGCTCCAAGACACAATGCTACACCATGCTCCAAGACACAATGCTACACCATGCTCCAAGACACAATTTCATTCATTTGTAATCAGTTATCAGAAATAAATATTTCTCAATGCATTTTTCTTTTGTGATGAATCACTTTGCTTTAATTATGTTCAATTTGTCACAATGAAAATACACTCTGCATATCAGATGTTTACATTACGATTCATAGCAGAATTAAAATTACAGTTATGAAGAAGCAACAAAAATAAAATTATGGTTGGGGGGTCATCACAACATGGGGAACTTTATAAAGGGTTCACGGCATTAGAAAGGTTGACAACCTCTGAACTAAACCAACATTCGCTCAACTTTTGTTCAATCTAGGTCAAATCTAAAATTAGCCGACCAATGCCGATAAACAAACAATTTCAGGTCGACCAATATGAACACGAGTTTCAACATAAAAATGTATGGGTTCTGGGAAGAAAAGAGTCTCTTCAAGTCTTTTGTGTGGATATTTTAATGGGCGACACCATTAAACAATAGATACCCCAAGCTCTCGAGACTCGGTCGATACCCTTGATATGTTTACATAGCATTGTCATTATAGTTTAAAAGAAGGGTCTATTTTGCATGAATTTTGCCCTTCCACCAGTCAAACTTAAATTTCAATACTAATTAAATTTTTTTTTTTCAGCTTTAAATGATTTTTTAAGCCAAAAAGGGGTGAAGGTTCACTTTATTGGATAAATTGTATAAGAGTCATTTAAGACGAATAAAAATTGCCACAAAAGTTGTTCTATCCTTTTTCGCGGTGAGCAGAACGTGTGCGAAAAACGAGTTTTGAAATATTAAAATTTTTCTGCTTCGGTTGCGGCCGAAATTGACAAGTTTCGGTTGAATTTCGGTTTCGGACTAAACTGAAAAGTTAAGTTTCGGTTTTCTTTCGGTTTCGGCTGAAAGTCATTTTAACTTCCGGCCTGGTTTCGGTTTCGGTCGGAAAATCACTTTCTGTCGGTCCCACCCCACCGTGGCGGATGATTATAACAGGTTTGGGCACTACCGTTTGAAACTGGAGTGCGTATGCACTGGTATGCTTGGTTGGGCTTATATGGCGGTTTAGCCCGGCCAACTATGGTCACTAGTGGGCTGGTATGGCTGGTTTGACGGCCTGATGTGGCTGGTTTAACGGCCTCGTAAGGATTGTTTGACGGCCTGATATGGCTGGTCTGCCGGAACTGCTTCTGGATTGGTATAGCTTCCTTGTCGAGATAGTGCTGCTGGTTAATCCGGCCTTGTATGGCTGGTTTGGTAGAGCTTTTGTATGTGTGCCAATCATGGACTGGTATTGCTACCTTGATTGCAGCTGACGGTAGCGGCTTGTATTGCTGGTTATTCTGTTTTGACTGCACTGCTATAGCTGTTTTAACCGGCACCTCCCACTGGCGAATGACAAGGCCTAGTGTGGTTGGTAGATTCTGGCTTGTTTGATGAGCCCCCACTGTGGTGAAGGGACGGCTGATGTGGACGCATTGGCCCTTTGTGTAGACGGACCCCGACTGTGGCGAAATGTCGTCTGGTGCTAGGTCCTTCTCCCAATGGCCGCATAACACAAAATATCAAGAGTCCAAAAGAATCCGTTTCTTTCTGGCTGATAAGAACTTCACGAAATGGTTTTGATAAAAAAAATATTCTTTAATTATTTACAAAATCATTACAAATAATCATTAACGGTCTTCTCATCTGTTAAGGAGTTGTGTGTATTGTGTGATTGTGTGTTGTTTAGAGATTATTTGGGTAGATGTTGTTATTAAATGTTTGATATTTTGTGACGTATTGTGCGGAAGGGAATGTGACGTAGATTGTTGTGTGTCGTGGTCTTATGAGCAATGCCAGTTGAAGCTGTACCTTAGTTTATGTAATAAGATATTTAATATGAGAATAATGGTTTGTGAAGTGTATATATCAATAAACCCATTAGACAACGAAGCTAACGAACCTTTTAAGTAAGACCAGGTTCGTAACAACATCATATGAACTCAATCACTTCTGTCCACCTTCCCAAAGCTACTCAGCTCAATCAAAAAAATCACCGACTGGTAGCCCACCCACTTCCTCACAAAAGTGTAACTTCTTGCCTGCAATAAAACATCTATATCTCTCATCATCAACATATCGTACCACATCGGAAAGACGTAACAGAGCATTCATGTCTTAGTAAACGTGGTGCGATACATGGGGAAGTTGCTCACTGTCAAAATGATCAACCCAGGCATATAACGTAATCATGTGATCTGACCTTGACACTGCTATATCCTCTTAAAGATTCCTTGTTACAATCACAGCTGCACACACACACACGCACGCACACACACACACTTGTGTGTCTGGTACGTCTAACCTATTTATAGTCTAAGTGGGTGGGGAGAAGGTTCTAGAATCAATTGTTTCGTTCTAGAGTGGGAAGCGATCATCATCCATCTGTATTTAGAACGCTCTAGTAGCCATTAAGTTCAAAAGAGGCCAGACATGGACAAGTTAAATTATTTTGGCAGTAGTAAAACACATGGGGTTACAACATTGATCCAAAGTCTACCTGCAGGGCTGGGTTACAACATTAATCCGAAGTCTACCTGCAGGGCTGGGTTACAACATTGATCCGAAGTCTACATGCAGGGCTGGGTTACAACATTGATCCGAAGTCTACCTGCAGGGCTGGGTTACAACATTGATCCGAAGTCTACATGCAGGGCTGGGTTACAACATTGATCCGAAGTCTACATGCAGGGCTGGGTTACAACATTGATCCGAAGTCTACCTGCAGGGCTGGGTTACAACATTGATCCGAAGTCTACATGTAGGTCCGGGTTACAACATTGATCCGAAGTCTACATTTTTAAAAACTAATTTAAAATTTTAAAAAATTGTGAACAAGATTGTTTACAATTGAAATGTTGATACTTGAAATCCTCCTCAGTGAAGAGTTCTGAACAGAGATACAACGTTACGATCGGAATGATCAGATTTCACCGTACAAGAAAATCATTTTTGAAAAGCACATGTGATCGTTGGGGGCGGAGGAGGGGAGGAGGGTCGTCTTTGAGAGGAACTTAATGGAAACCTTTAATGTCTGTTGTTTTGGTGTTGTTTCTTTTTTTTACGGGGGGGGGGGGGGGGGGTGGAATTTTGGAAAAACCAAAATCTGAACCTTGTCTGGATATCTTCCTACGAGTGTGTAACGCGTGTCCCGGGGACTGTTATAACACTAAGGTGTAGTAAGTAAATCAGCGCTTCTCACACGGTGATCCACGGACACGAACCCGTCAATGAGCGTTACGTTGCCAGTGCAAAATTGTTTTATGGTCAAATAGAAAGAGGGTATAATTAATAAATGTGACAATGGTCCCTGATGCAATTTAGAGTCTTGACCACCGGTGAGCCGGATTTAAAATATCTTGGAAACGTCATAGAAAGACTTAGTCACATCAGGTGAGTAAACGAAGGGACTGAAAGTTTTTAATGACAGATTCTAAAAGAACGTGAGTCCGTCACGCGAAACGCATAGAGGAACGTTGAATAAATTATGTCAATGACGACTCGTCTCAAAAGTTCAACTCACCCCTCAGGGTCTACGTTTCTGTGCATCTTCAGTGCTGTCACAAGTCAGGGGACAGCAGTCAGTTGCTATCCCGCCACCAGCTCTCTAACCGTAGCAACAAAATCCAAATGCCGCTATTGATTTATGATAACCTTGTGCAGACCTGGCGATGACATGAGTTATGCACCTTGCAATGATAAGACGTGTGGAATCTTTTCTGGTTTACGAATGAACTGGGACAAAACTTGAGTGAACAATTTCATGTGACAGTTGTGAGATAATTTATAACTAAAGTATTTGGATATATTTAAGTAATTCGGTGTTGTGAAGTGTTGTTAAATGAAGAGTTTACGCAGTTCGTGTATCGGAAGTCGCTACGGTTTCAAACCTTTCTTCGCCTGCTTTGTGTTAGCCACGGGCGCTATGTGGTACTATCTTATCAACCAGGGCACTTGTGAACACAAAGAAGTACAATTACAGAAGCAGGACAGCAGAGCCATCCTTTCTACCGTCACTAACGACACCGTATGTAAACTGAATACCGTTCCAGCGACAACAAAATGTGACAGTGGTCAAGGTGTGGCGGATAAACTGAGACTGGACAGGGACATTTTTGGTCCACTCTTTGCGTCTCCATCTTACGTGCTATCACATCTCTATGGTCAGTCATGGCCTCGTTTTAGTGTCAGTCCAGGGGATGTCCCCACCACTGCTCATTATGTTTGGTGTGGTAAAAAGCTGTTTCGATTCGAACATTACTTGGCCGTGTTGAGTATCGTGAAAGTCTTAAAGCCCATGAAGGTTGTCTTTCATTATAACCAACTTCCGACTGTGAAGAAATTGTACCACACCTGGTTTCAAGAGTTGAGACAGTCGCTGCCGAATTTGGTTTTAAGGCAGACTTTTGGTCTTAAATGCGACTCGTCAGAGATTCTCAATTTTGGTCTCGAAAAACTGGCTTATAGTGTGGGGGGTGGGGTCTATTTTGGAGAAAGGTCAGTTCTGAGTTACATCCCCAGGTATTGGAAGCAAGAGGAATATTTGACCTACTTAACACCTGGAACTAACTCCAGTGAAGAACTGATTGTATTTACAAAACATGGATTGTATGAACTGAATGTCACCCTGGAACAATTTAAATTAAAACTTCTCAATAAATCATACGAGTGCCTGGCATTGTATAAATTTAACCAGGTTATGACGTCACAGGAACTCATTAATTCCAGAGCACCCGATGACATATTGTCACCCTGTTTGGTGGCGCCAAAACAACTTTACCCAGAAAACATCACCAACAACACAACACCATTTGGTGGCTTGGCCAGGAGTTTGTATTATGGCAAGTCAGAAATATTGGTAGCCAAACCAAGCGTGGTAACATAGTTTTAATCTTTACTGTTTCAATTATTGTCATTATTGTAATTTCACATAAAATGAGTAGAGGCAATATAATGCATCACAGTTCAATGCAATTTAATACAATACAATATACAATAGAGTGCAACACCTTACAAGAACTCACAATACAATAATTTACAAATAAAGACCTACCGAATTTTGGCTTCGGTTTCAACACCTAAAGTTGCCAATTGATCACTTTAGGCGCAGTTTCGGTTTCTGACGAAACACAAATTTAACTTTCGCGGTCTATTTTCGATTTCGGCCGAAAGTGATGAGCCTTTCGTTTGCGTACCATAAGTCAGATTGACTGTAGGCCGGCAATCCAATCGCGTACCATAAGTCAGATTGACTGTAGGCCGGCAATCCAATCGCGTACCATAAGTCAGATTGACTGTAGGCCGGCAATCCAATAGCGTACCATAAGTCAGATTGACTGTAGGCTAGCAATCCAACAGCGTACCATAAGTCAGATTGACTGTAAGGCCGGCAATCCAATAGCGTACCATAAGTCAGAATGACTGTAGGCCGGCAATCCAATATACATTTTTGCTCGACGTCTTGCTGTCATCGTATTTTATATTATATGACTACTCCTCCGCAACAACTGTGCAAAGCTACATGATGACACACTCGTACTATATTTCCAAAAAGCAGATCTCCATTAAGCTGAAGCAAAGATAGATAGTTTTGTGAATAACAGCTACGGGAATATAAATATATTTTGTTTTTCAAAAAATAAAATTTGGGAACCCTAGACAAGGTTTATTTCATTCATTCATTTGTGACATTCATTTTGATTATTCATTATCATGATCATCAATGTTGTGATGGGCAACGGTAAATAATATTTGAAAATCCCAGGGAAGGGTGATATTTACATAATTATTTTTTTAAATCTTTTTTTTTTTTAAAGGGGATCTTAGGGCCATTCAATTCGCTAATTTTTTTTTGAAATTCGTCTTTATCATGCTGATAAACATTGCTATTGATATAAGAACACATGTGTGCATGTTACAATGGTTCAATAATCATTTTCTAGTAAGCCTACTGAAGACCTATTTATTTTTATGATATTGTCGACCAATTTAGATGTCCTTTGTGGTTCTAAGCCATGACTATGATTTGACGAGACCAGGTTAAAACATCGTTTACCCCACCAATGAGGGTGAGGGAGGTTGGCAGCCACACGAAATCATTGCGTCACCAGCAAAGAAAGATCAGCTGCTTGTGTTAGGCTAAATATTAGCACAGCGATATCTTTCCATCTATTTATGAAAAGCACAAAGCATAGTATGACGCTAAACGCTAACGATTGAGGTGGTAGTTGTATAGCCTCAATAACAGATTTTAAGGTGACAGTTGGCTCTGTTAGAGATTGTCAAGATAGATTTTGTAGAATTTATGCATACATATTGGTACATTCGGGTGACTGGTATTTTTTTAAAAAATGCATTCTCAACTGCTTCGCACGGTAGCGTAAGGTTTTGACATACTCTATAAGATCTAGTAAGATGCATTTGAAATCTATTATTAGAAATTACTTTAGCAGCTGCACAATTTTAATACCCCAGTTTGTTCCCTCACTTCTCTTCCCATCTCCCAACACAGCTTGCTGTAGTTTTAGACCACAATGTGTTAACGGAAATTAAGTCAGGCGTCTGGTCTTAATACGGGGGTCGGCAACGTTCGGCCCGACCCTTTAAAGGATGAGGCCGGCCAGGTGTAGTGCAAATGAACGATTTTATTCATTCAAATAGGGATTATTTTTAGTTTGTGTTATAACCGCAAATTTTGTGTATCTATATACATCAATTTTTGTGAACGATACGCGCAATTACGCTCACTCACCATCATATTGGACTGATAGATTTAAAATAGAAATAAGTTTTAAAAAAAAGAATTAACACGTAGTATTTGGTAACGACTGAATTTAAAAGAATTGATGTAAACAAACCCAAGTAAGGGGAAGCTTATAATGTCTAGAGCGACACAAAACTATATTCAGCTATACACAAACGTGCACCCCTTCGATAGAATTTGTAAAAGAATTCTTGGCGGGGCGCTCAACCCTCCTACCCAATCCCCACCCCCCACCCACATACGTTCGGGTGACGTCAGAGGGCGTCCTCACTTTCAGCTCCCTCACCATATCTTCGTCTATCAGATTTGAAACGACGGTTAAAACTTTTGAAGTTCAATGATGAGCAATACAGAACGTCAGTCATTGACTTTGAGAATTGACCTGCATTAGACATAGATAGTTCCTTTAAGACTTATAACTGGACATTTTAAGGAGTCATATCAATAAAACATACATAGGCTAAGCTTGCGATCAATACCAATAAATATGTCTCGATATCATTGTAATTACATAAACTTACCATGTTTTCTGGATGCCAAGTACGGAAACAAAGGCTCATAGCAACAGGAGACATGGCAGCGGGTGGGGGGTGGTGGCGCAGAGGGGGGGGTGGCGTGGGGGGCACGAAATAAAAACAACAAATGGTGATGTGCATGATTGTTTAATATCCTTGTGCACATCATTTTCCAACAAACTCTTGTGAATTATGGCAGCGGGTGGGGGGCGGGGGCGCAGAGGGGGGGGTGGCGTGGGGGGCACGAAATAAAAACAACAAATGGTGATGTGCATGATTGTTTAATATCCTTGTGCACATCATTTTCCAACAAACTCTTGTGAATATTTTGCAGATCGATGAATAGATTTTAACAAATTTCTATTCTCAAAAAGTTTACCATACAACTGGGGAAATTTTAGATCAATGCTACATTGAACAAGCAAAATGCCTCTCAGAGTAAAAACTTTCGTGTGCGACTTGTAAGGCGTTCAAGCATTTGTTTACCTGGGAGAAAGCTTGCGCCAGGAGTTCAGTCGTGCCGGGAAGGCTGAATGAAACCTCGAGCAGTAGTTGCAAATGTAAAGACAGTATATCCTTTTTAATTCAACTGTTGGAATATTTGCACACATTTTTTGATCCCCAGAAATGATTTGCGAGTTCCATTATTCCGTCTTAACAGGCGACACATTAAATTTGTTTCACATAAGCTGGCTTATCAAAGAGATTGCTATCAACAATTATCCCTGGGAAGATTTCATTGACATGCGCAGATAGTCTCACGCTGTTTCATTGGGGTGCCGCAGTAACGCCTAGGTTAACGAGGAATGTGCCGCACGACGGCGCTGAAACGACTCAATGGGCTGACCCTTGAGGAGAAATAAAATGACACAAATTAAATGGAAATTTGGCAAGCAAGTCGTCGTTGAAAAAAGTACGGACAAGCCGAACGTCGAGGGGAAAGTACGGACAAGCCGGACGACGAGGGAAAAGTACGGACAAGCCGGACGTCGATGGAAAAGTACGGACAAGCCGGACGACGAGGGAAAAGTACCGACAAATACGACTGCAGCATTTAGTACGGACAAGGGGGTCGAAAATACCGTACTAAATACGGACGTCTGGTAGCATTAAATTATATTGCATAAATTCCACCCCCTTCCCCCCCCCCCACCACGGAATTTTCTTTTCCCTTACGATAATACTTTAAAATACATGTTTAACAAATTTTAAATTACTTTGACTCACTTCGACTCGACTGACACCAAGAGATTCACTCACTTTGACTCGACTGACGCCAAGAGATTCATTCACTTCGACTCGACTGACGCCAAGAGATTCACTCACTTTGACTCGACTGACGCCAAGAGATTCACTCACTTTGACTCGACGGACGCCAAGAGACTCATTCACTTTGACTCGACTGACGCCAAGAGATTCACTTGCTTGGTATTGAAACTTCTTCCTCTATTATAAAAAGAAACAACTAAATTGTATTTATTATATCGTTAGGCCCAGGCACATTTGATTAAAAACAAATTAAAATGTATGGATTATTTATTGTCTTTTCCTTTAGATTTTCATTTTTATTCTTCTTTTCGTTTCTTTAACTCCCGAGGAAAGAATTCAACTTTTTGATAAAGACATGAAACACAATTATGCGATATCATTGTGAATCTGAATAGGAACGGATGGAGAATATAGCAACTTGCTCATCTCAAAATGTTGACATGGTTGATTACAAGCAATACGGTGTTCGGAAAAGCAATTCATATTCACAAGCTTCCCGATTAAGTGTAGAACAGTGATTCTCAACCTTCCTAATGCCGCGACCCTTTAATACTGATTTATAAATACGTATCCTTGAAAAGCCTGTGGTCTTCAACACCGTACTTACAGAAAAAGTCTGACGGAGTGCGCTCTTTTGAAGCGATCGCGCAAAAATTATGGAAGGGTTTTCCTCAATCTTTGAGGGGAATTGAAAACGATAAAAAATCATTTACGAAACATTTAAAAACTTGTTTGTTTAAATAGATTTCGGAAAACCAGAGTGCAGTGAGCATGCTAAAGTGGCATGGATACCAGCGCGATATAAATATCAAAATTAATCAATCAATCAATCAATCGATACAGTTCTGTTGTGGCGACCCCCAACAACAAAATTAAGTTCGTTACTACGTCATAACTGTTGAGTATATATGTTTTCCGTTGGTCTTAGGTGACCCCCGAGAAAAAGTCGTTCGACCCCCAAAGGGATCGTGACCTACAGGTTGAGAACCGCTGGTGTAGAATAATGAAACACTTATTTCAGGTGCCGCAAAAGAAGAAATGCGTCATTATTTTTTCATCTATAACATAAATTATGGTGAGGGACACGATAACCCCATCCCTTCCTTTCCCACTTGCCATACGTCTCCCCCCCCCCACACACACATACATACTTGTTAAGGCATGCTTTACCCTTTAACAATTAAGATATTTTAGTTCAGATCTCCAAAACTATTGTTTCATCCTCTTTTGCAGACTGAGTCTGGACTCTTAAAGCCCATTACTAATAGATTGTTCGTTTTGAATAGCCGGCTAACTTGTCAGCCATTCCTCGTTGGTAATGCTAGGTCTTTTTGTTGGCAACCATGGCCTGACGTTTTAGTTTGTACGGCTTTGTTCTAGGGACTGGCAGTCTTAACCAACTAACCCCTTCCCGACCAACAAGCTCTGTATACGGGTCCTCTGCAACGGACACAATCCTACAATCCCGACCTGACTGTCTATAAATAGAATTGTCTTGAGTACCGAAGCAGCCTGTTCGCTCTGTTCGCTTTGTGACACATTTAGTCCAACTCTTCTAAAGTCACTTTGTGACACATTTAGTCCAACTCTTCTAAAGTCACTTTGTGACACATTTAGTCCAACTCCTCTAAAGTCACTTTGTGACACATTTAGTCCAACTCCTCTCAAGTCACTTTGTGACACATTTTGTCCAACTTTTCTCTAGTCACTTTGTGATACATTTAGTCCAACTCTTCTCTCTTCAACTTGTGATACATTTAGCCCAACTCTTCTCTCTTCAACTTGTGATACATTTAGTCCATCTCTTCTCTAGTCAACTTGTGATACATTTAGTCCATCTCTTCTCTAGTCAACTTGTGATACATTTAGTCCAACTCTTCTCTCTTTAACTTGTGATACATTTAGCCCAACTCTTCTCTCTTCAACTTGTGATACATTTAGTCCATCTCTTCTCTAGTCAACTTGTGATACATTTAGTAGATCTCTTCTCTAGTCAACTTGTGATACATTTAGTCCAACTTTTCTCTCCTAAACTTGTGATACATTTAGTCCAACTCTTCTCTCGTCAACTTGTGATACATTTAGTCCAACTTTTCTCTCCAAAACTTGTGATACATTTAGTCCAACTTTTCTCTCCTAAACTTGTGATACATTTAGTCCAACTTTTCTCTCGTCAACTTGTGATACATTTAGTCCAACTTTTCTCTCCTAAACTTGTGATACATTTAGTCCAACTCTTCTCTAGACAAGTGAGGCACATTAAGTCCAACTCTTGACAATTCCCATGGAGTAGAACATTGATTTTTCGTCACTTCGACTTCGATTTTTTATGAACTATGGAAGTCGATCGCCCGCTTTCCGTTCAAATACAGATGAATTGTAAAGACATTGTCCTTGTGTCGTGTAATGATTTGTTCATTCCATCTCTGTTTTCTTTCTTTCGGTCTGCCAGTTCACCTGCCTTGCTACATATCAAATTTATCAACATAAACAAGGATGACCGAAAACAAGACACAATCTCCTCAAAGACACAATCTCATCTGTGACACAATCTCGTCTATGACATAATATCGTCTATGACACAATCTTGTCAATGTCAAAATCTCATTTATGACACATCCTCGTCTATGACACAAACTCGTCTGTGACACAATCTCGTCTGTGAAACAAACTCGTCTGTGACACAATCTCGTCTGTGAAACAATCTCGTCTTTGAAACTATCTTGTCAATGTCACAATCTTGTCAATGATACAATATCGTTTATGACACAATCTCGTCTATGCAATGCCAACATGGTAGATTATCCCCTTAAAGGGGTGCCATAAGGAAAGCATACCCCCATAACAGGATGCCAACATGGTAGATTATCACTTTAACAGGGTGCCAACATGGTAGATAACCATCATAACAAGGTGGTAACACGGTAGATAACCATCATAATAGGGTGCCAATATGGTAGATTACCACTTTAACATGGTGTCAACATGTAGATTAGCATCATAACAGGATGACAACATGGTAGATTACTAACAGAGCAAGCAGACTCGGGGGAAGTCCATGCGGAGGTCTGGATCGGGATGACTCCATGAGTTTACACCTCTAGGTGACAACAATCCTAGTGACGCCACTAGGCATAAGATAAAATAGGCGATTGGGCCAAAATGACTAATGCATGATTTGAGGTGAGCTTATAATTCCAGCTGCCAAGCCCCTAAAGATCACAACATAATGGTTGCCTAGACCCTACAGATCTCAACATAATGGTTGCCTAGACCCCACAGATCTCAACATAATGGTTGCCTAGACCCCACAGATCTCAACATAATGGGTACCTAGCCCTTACACATCACGACATAATGGCTACGTGTTTCTATGACATAGACCAGATGCAGTATAGTTATAAATTGTTTCCTAAAATGGGAAGTACTTCAACCAATTTAAAAATACTTTTAATGATGTCTTTTGAGCCCTCCTTATCCCTGACGTTTATTTTTCCCCACTCGGGGTTATCTTCCCATTTCACCGACCAATGTCTTCAGCTGTGGCCAATTACAATTTATTTTGTGCACGGTTGTATGTTTAAAACATTCGTGTTGCCATAAAGACTCATTAAGTGGTGATTTAAAATGTCAAATATTTTTATATTAGTTCAAAGCTTCTATAATTATGTCATGGATTACTTTATGCAAGTGGTTTTCCACCTTCTTAATGCCCCGACCTGTTAATACTGTGCCTCGTGTTGTGGCGACCCCCAACAACAAAATTATTTTCGTTGCTACTTTATAACTGTAGAGTGTATGTGTTTTCCGATGCTCTTAGGTGACCCCTGGGGAAAGGGTCTTTCGACCCCAAAGTGGTTGGGACCCAACGGTTGAGAACCACTGCTTTACGAAAAGAAAGTATGTGCAAAAGATATTTTCAAAAATTAATAACAATAAAACATATTACGTTTTGTTTAAACGCATTTTGGGCTTTATAGAGTGCTCATTTACACTTCTGTACAGTCTCTCTTTGGCTATATAAAGTGCTCATTTACACCTCTGTACAGTCTCTCTTTGGCGTTATAGAGAGGCTCATCTAGACTTCTGTACATTCTCTCTTCGGTTTAATAGAGTGCTCATCTAGAATTCTTTACAGCCTCTGTTTGGCTTCATAGAGTTCTCATATAGACTTCTGTACAGTCTATATTTGGCTTTATAGACTGCTCATCCAGACTTCTGTACATTCATTCTTTGGCCTTATAGAGTGCTCATCTAGACTTCGGTACAGTCTCTCTTTGGTTTCATAGAGTGCGCATCTAGACTTCTGTACAGTCTCTCTTTAACTTCATAGAGTGCGCATCTAGACTTCTGTACAGTCTCTCTTTAACTTCATAGAGTGCTCATCTAGACTTCTGTACAGTCTCTCTTTAACTTCATAGAGTGCGCATCTAGACTTCTGTACAGTCTCTCTTTAACTTCATAGAGTGCGCATCTAGACTTCTGTACAGTCTCTCTTTAACTTCATAGAGTGCTCATCTAGACTTCTGTACAGTCTCTCTTTAACTTCATAGAGTGCGCATCTAGACTTCTGTACAGTCTCTCTTTAACTTCATAGAGTGCTCATCTACACTTCTGTAGTATATTCTTGCGTAGTGTATGTTAAGAATATTTATTTTTACCCTCCATTTTAGTGTGTCTAATTACGCGTTTGACAGAAAGTCTTTTTTTTAAGTTTAAAAAAATATGCTCATTTTATTTTTGGCCTTGCTTGACTGCGATAAAGTTACAAATCACTTCAAATTTTAACGAATAAAGAAATGCTACTGCAAGAATAGCCACCTTATACGTCACATTCTTTGAAAAAATGTATCCTTCATTCTAATTAGTCGTTAAATCTTTGACAAGTCCTTCAACTCTAACCAGGTGCCAAAAGTCTATACTTAGAGAGACAAGATATCGAGCCAGTTATAATCGAATAATTATAAAGCCACTTTGAGTGTTACAACCTAATCAATAAATGTAGTTGGCAAATACGTGAGAGCATAGACAGAGAAGTGAAAATAGACAGAGAAGTGGGCATAGACAAAGAAGTGAGCATATAGAAAGAAGTGAGCATAGGGAGAGAAGTGAGCATAGAGATCGAAGAGAGCACAGACAGAGAAGTGATCACAGACAAAGAAGAGAGCACATAGAAAGAAGTGAGCATAGGGAGAGAAGTGAGCATAGAGAGAGAGAGAAGTTAGCATATAGAAAGAAGCGAGCATAAGGAGAGAAGTGAGCATAGATAGAGAAGTGAGCATATAGAAAGAAGTGACCATAGGGAGAGAAGTGAGCATAGAGAGAGAAGTGAGCATTGACAGAGAAGTGAGCATAGACAGAGAAGTGAGCACAGACAGAGAAGTGAGCATAGACAGAGAAGTAAGCACAGACAGAGAAGTGAGTATAGACAGAGAAGTGAGCATAGACAAAGAGGTGAGCATAGACAGTAAGTGAGCATAGAGAGAAAAGTGATCATAGACAGAGAAGTGATCATAGACAGAGAAGTGATCATAGACAGAGAAGTGACCATAGACAGAGAAGTGATCATAGACAGAGAAGTGATCATAGACAGAGAAGTGAGCAGAGACAGAGAAGCGTGCATTGAAAGACAAGTGAGCACAGAAAGTGCTTCTAATATAATACAGAGAAAATTCGATCTTCAACCGATTCTGAAGTAAAACTATTTTGTTTACAATTGTATTTTATGGATTTTGAATAACCGGGCGGGAAAATTGTTCTTGGTTCTGTTCTTTTATAAAGGTTTACCCACAGGCTGCCAACAATTTTAAAAGAACCTATTTTATAGGAACAAAGATACTCACGACCTAAATAAATATTGTAAAAGAAAACATATATATCATACAAGTTTCAAAGAAAACACAGTGACATGTCAAATAAGAGTTTTAAAGGTAGAATATAAAGAAAAGTTTCAAACTTCAGCAGGAGATCAGTAAAAAAGAAAAATTCCTTAAAATCAATATTTTTTTATTGCTTACTAATTCGGCCGGTGACCCTACCGAAAAGCCTTACATATGAGTAACCCACATCAGCCCACAGTTACCCACATCAGCTGACACTAACGCACATCAGCCCCCAGTAACCCACATCAGCCCACAGTGAGGCACATCAGTCCACTGTAACCCACATCAGCCCACACTAACCCACATCAGCCCACTGTAACCCACATCAGCCCACACTAACCAACATCAGCCACACCACCTTAATCATCCTACCCACTAGTCTACAACAACTCAATCCATCCTGCTCGCTCGCTGCATCTCCACTTAATCCAGCTTTCATCATCCAACATTGTTTCCATGAATTCCCCCGTATCCACTAAATATCTCAATGCTTTTCAGGATCCCAAAGACCTGATCCCTGCCATCAGTCACATGATCTCACTGAACCCTACACCTGGACAACCTGTAGAATTGACCTTCGGTCACTACCTGAGCATCCTGTCGGCTCTCTACCTGGGAGGCTTTGAAAGGTGAGTGGCCTGGTTGAGATGTGGCTACCGGAAATTCTGGTGTGGGGATTGGACTAATGATGATGTGCTGGTGGGTTGATATGTCTGATAATGATATGCTTTTGGTCTGATATGACTGATAATTATATGCTTTGTGGTTGATATAACTGATGATGATATGCTGGTCAGGTGATATGACTGATAATGATACGCTCTAGGGGTGATATGACTGATAATGATATGTTGTATGGTTGACATGACTCATAATGATATGCAATATGGTTGATATGACTCATAATGATATGCAATGTGGTTGATATGACTGAAAATGATTTGCTTTGTGGTTGATATGACTGATAATGATACGCTCTTGGGGTGATATGACTGATAATGATATGCAATATGGTTGATATGACACATAATGATATGCAATATGGTTGATATGACACATAATGATATGCAATATGGTTGATATGACACATAATGATATGCAATATGGTTGATATGACACATAATGATATGCAATATGGTTGATATGACACATAATGATATGCAATATGGTTGATATGACTGATAATGATTTGCTTTGTGGTGGATATGACTGATAATGATATGCAGGCCTGATGTTTAACGACATTTTACTAGTTTACGTATTAATATGCTAAGCAAGTATCAGCACACTCACACTTTCATCGAATGGCACTCTCTCACTCGCACACTTCTATTCATGTATAGGACTACTTTTCTTCTGCAATGACTACATCTACTCAGGTGGCTGAGCCCACGAATAGTACTATTTAATTACATATATCAACATTAAATGAACACATGATCTTACAGAATATAAACAATAGAAAGAATACATAAGTATACTGTATACTATTAATAACAACATACAAGATGGCCACTGGCTTGTACTGAATTAAATCTGGTGTTCAGTTCTGGCTCCCGTTCCGGTGGTCCCTAAATCACACACGCAGCAGTAATATTGTTTGCCCTCTCGTCCAGCCACTGCGGTACTGGGACGAAGTAGGTCTAACGGCTTGGCACCCACGGTGTGTGTTGCTTGTGGGAGTCCAGGGTTATTAACCCTTAAGACCAATCTAGTCAATGCCTTATATTATTAAATGATGTTAGCGCTAGTATGATCACTAACTGCGTGACTTCACATGCAGTGTAACGAACTACAGCGACTACTAGACAGCTCTACACTAGACAACACCAGACTGGCTAGAATTGAAAATAAGAAATGCAAGACAAAACAAAATATTGCATTCACAGTAAGGGACCGAGCTACAACTCTTTTAATGGCCCCGGCAAGTATGGAACAGGCCTGACTCATCTGATGGGCAGTCCCGTAAATCAGGCTTTCGACATGGTTGGCTGGGAGCACCCCAGACATACCAGTCGCTAATGTCGAGCACTCGGCTAGAAGATGCTCTATTGTCTCCAGCGCCTGTCCACAATGGCTGCAGCTCGGGTCCCGCAGTGGGTGCAACTTATTCAGGTAGCTCCTGGTAGGACAATGCTCTGTTCTCAGCAAGACATACCTAAAACATTCGAATCACATCAGATAAGATAACTAACTAAAATCTTACACATGGAATTATTTTATCTAGATTGATACATATCTTAAAACATAATAAAAATATTAGATAAACAAGCCTAGTCAATTATAGGTGAACAAACTTAAACACAAAATATAGCCAGCCAGGCTGTGCACCAGTTTCAGGTAAAAGAGAGCGAGAACTTTGGACCTTGCCTTATAGAGTATTGCCTAGGCTTGCGGAAGCTTCCCCATGACCCCTTTGTTTCAGCTGGGTCAATTTTACCAAGTTATTTTCATTGTTAAGGCCAGCCCTAATTGTACCGTGTCACGAGGGGTAAAGATGTAGAGATAGTGAGCCAGCGGGTCTCAAAAGTGTGGACCAGCGGATCTCAACAGGATGATATGATTGATGATGTTCTGTCGAAGTACCATGACATTTCAATGACACATCCCTTGTTTTTGCACGTCAGTTTAATGTACTAAAAATTCAATTTCGTTGATGATCCTCTTCATCAAACAATAAATCTGAATTGCCGGACATTGGTCATCTGGATCCTGTCACATATCGCTTCAGTGATGTTTTTTTTAATTTTTAATTTTTAAAATTTTAAAGTTTAATTCCCCCCCTCCTCCCCCCCCCCCGGAAAAACATGGTCACGTGCGGTCATACATCTCTTGAACCCTTCAACCATGTTAAAAAACTTGTTATTTCAAAATAACAGTCAGTTATTGTAAGGAACGAGGCAATAATTTGTAATTGTCAGTAATTGTAAGAAATTAGACAATGTTTAACAATCATTAATTGTCCGGAATGTGATAATTTGTAACAGTCAGTTACTGTCATGAATAAGACAATAATTATATACACTGTTCTTCCAAAAAAAAATATTTTCCAATCAAAACATCTTTGAAACAACGTCATTGAATTTATTTTCTTTTTAATTTAAGTTAAAATAGTTACAATGATTAAAAAAAGGGAAGACTACGCTGGGCTGGACATGTTAAAAGTATGCCAGTATAAAGAGCACCAAAAGTTATATACAGGCAGAAGCCTAGGGGCAGACGACTCACCGGTCGCCCAAGGCTGAGATGGATAGACGATGTGAAGATGGATATACACCAATTGGGATTTCGCGCATGAAGGCTTAAAGCCATGGATCGCTCCAAATGGAAGGATGTGTTGGAGCAGGCCAGGGCCCTACATGACTGTAGCGCCTCTGATGATGATGATTAACTTGTTTAATTTTAAGTATAATTGTTCAGAAATGTTCAATACCAAGACTCATTCATTTTCGTTTCCTTCTCTTTTTTGACCTATGTAAGGCTTGCTTTCGTGATAAGTCCCCAACGATGGCATGTAAGGCTTGCTTTCGTGATAAGTCCCCAACGATGGCATGTAAGGCTTGCTTTCGTGATAAGTCCCCAACAACGGCATGTAAGGCTGTATTTCGAGATAAGTCCCCAAAGATGGTGTGTAAGCAAACTTTGTTACAAGGATATCGTTCATTCAGGGCTATAGAATCCAATACATGATTAAAAAGACATATAACGAAACGTGCTGAAATATATCCAAGAGTTTTATACTTTCGTTGCCCTTTGGATTTTTTTTTTGGGGGGGGGGGTGTGGGGGGTTAGAGATTTGACACAGGAGTGGACACACTCGCAATGATAGGTTTGTGAGCGATTCGACACAGGAGTGGGCACACTCGCAATGATAGGGTGGTGAGAGATTTGACACAGGAGTGGGCACACTCGCAATGATAGGGTGGTGAGAGATTTGACACAGGAGTAGGCACACTCGAAATGATAGGGTGGTGAGAGATTTGAAAGGCGTTGGCCCATATGGAAAGAAAGGGTGTGAGGGAGATATTGGGCGCTAATGAAGTGACCAGAAGTAACACATTTGATGTTTTGTCTTCCAGAGTGTATGTTCATGGTGACACAGAGCCGTCTGGGGAATGGTGGACCAGATTACTGGGTGAAAACGTCACATTTGTCTTGGTAAGGTTCATTAGAATAACATAGGGAATGTCAATTATTGTTTGATAAATTCTATATGTTATGTTATTTTGACTCTAAATTCTTACCTGTATGCGGAATAATACATATGAGTAATAATAATAATAAAGTTTATTTGAAAATCACGTTTCATTCCTAAAGGCTCGAAGCACGGTACAAGGTCAACCATATTAAAAGAGAAATGAAAAAGTCTATAATGTACCACATTGAAACACAAAACGTATCATTACAAAAACTACATACGAGCCAAACTCATTCTAAGTCTTTCATCCCTTGCAACCATAAACAACACAGGTCACTATACATATAAGAGATTAATATCTAGCTGGAAAAGATGGTAGACAACATCACCCCAGCAGGTGTTTGCGAAATAGATGTGTTTCTAATTATGTTTTGAACTACTCGAGGATAACATAAATATGAGTAATATAGGTTATCATAGATATAGTAATATAGGTTATCATAGATATAGTAATATAGGTTATCATAGATATAGTAATATAGGATAATATAGGACATACCGGGTGGATGGGACTCGTTAACCTTGGTCGGCAACTCATCTAAGAGAAGGAAGCTCTGAATTCAAACCCGGAGATGGTGTCCCCGTAAGGCGTAATGCAATAAAAAAAATCCAACAACTTCTGCATCTGTACCCCTCCCTGGTCGTTCTGACATAGTCCTGCCACTGGTCATGGTGGGCCCGGACGAGAGAGTGAGGTTGACGCCGCGCAACTCCACCTCACTATAAACAAAAGTCACCCACGCAAGTCATCAGTCATCCAACACCAGACGACTCGATGGTCCTAGTCGATCTTCGACGGACGAACAACGGTATAGGATAGCAAAGATATGAGTACTATAGGTTAGCAACGATGTAATTAATATAGGATATCATAGAGAAACTTTTGCTTTTTAAGTCGCCAAGTTATTGGACTCTCCCGTTAGTTGATTAGTAGTTATGTTTCGATCAGGGTTGTCAACCTTCCGTATGTGTACAGTCTGTAAATATTTGACATACGATGACTTGTCCTTGAACGTCAGCAAAGAACACTCCAGAAACTTGTGACATGTATTTATCTACGGAATAGTGACCTAGTAACTAGTAATATGAAATGGATATTTTGTATTGGCCTCCATATTATTAACACATCCATGCATTAAAAAAAACAACAACCTTTCCTATGGTATGCATTTGACCGTAAAAATTGTGAAGATTGAAACTATTTGTCTGTAAATTCATGGCGTTGATTTGACAACCAGTGTTTGAATATTTCCTTCTCTGAAAGGGTGGTCGGATTGATCAAAGATTGCTGGACGTCCCAACCAAAACATTGGTCATGAATTCATGCATTATTGGCTGTCTCGTAATGCTGGACGTCCCAACCAAAATATTGGTCATGAATTCATGCATTATT